CCTCCTACTTTCTCACTTAACTTCTAGTCCTTTCCCTGTAACCTTTTTCAAGACCTCCATTAATGTAGCATCATGAGCTTTAACCCAAGCGTTCTCCTTGACCTAGAAAGATTATCGTCTGTGGACATTAGCAATTGATTCTTTCCTCTTATCTTTTTAATTGTTTCTTTCCCTTTTGTTTTTGTCTCCAAAAGCTTTTTTCTTCAACAGCTTTAGCCTTTTTCATCTCTGAAATTTTCTTCAATAAGTTTCTAAAAGTTGAAATTTTTTAAAAGTTTCTTCAAGAAACTTTTTAAGTTTCTTCAAGAAACTTTTAAAGTTTATGTAAATTTCAATGCAATTGAAGAATGTTGTTGGAAATCTCCCTTAAAGACTTGGTATATTAGTTCATCTGAGTGACGTATCTCATGGTGGATTAGATTTTGGTGTATGACAACCCAACCTGTTAAGGCCCAATGGGTGAAATATCCTAAAAAAGCTTTGCAAAGCTTTTTATGTCCACCTATCACTTAGTATGAGGCTCTGCACTACCAAAAAGAATAAGAAAATAAAGTTATACATTCACTATTAGCTATAGCTTTTGGTGTAATGGTAAGCACTTAATATTAAAAACTAGTATCAGAGCCAAGGTCATGGGTTTGAGTCACAGTGGTGTTGCTAAAGGGGAGATTGTTGGCAAATTGAAGATTGGTTGCGTCCATCAACTCCATGTACTCAAACATTATGGGCGCTTGCGTATGCTGAATGCACTATAAGGTTAGGGTATGCGTCTTCCTAATAGCAATTGCTTTTGAGAGAATTGATAGCGCCTGAGGTCCTAAAAGTCAAAATAAGAATCAATTCAAGGCTAACAATTTAACAAACATATGTTAGTTACATTGCTGAGCTGTCCTCGTAGAATCAATTGGAGATAGGGGATAGCTTTTATATATGTTATAGATACTCTTTTTATTTCATTTTATTTGTCCATATTTTATTTTGGAATGTTCCAAAATTATATATATATTTTTTAACATTTTAAACTCTTACTTTTTATATTTTAAAATTATTTTTATTTTTATTTGTATTTTAACATTAAGGCTCCATTTGGTAACCATAAAAATGGTTTTCGAAAAATATTTTCTACATTTTCTTATGTTTGGAAGGAACAAAATCAGTTAGTCAACTAAAAACAATTTCGAGTCAACATAAAAATTAAAGTAGAAACACAAAAATTGTCTTCCATTTTTTTTAGGCAAAAGACAATTTCCATGAAGAAAAACTCATTCGTGCTTCCATCTCTCTAAAAAAAAAACCCATGAAAAGCTACAAATCTTTATCATTTCTCTCCTTAATTCTTTCATCTTCCTTTAATTTCATTCTTTTCACAATCACCATAAAACCCATAGCTCTCCCATATTTCTTCATCTTTCTTTTTGTTCTTCAATTTCCCATAAAACCCATAAATCTCCCACTATCTTCAATCCTCTTTCACCTCTTTCGTTTTCTTCAATCTTTATCATCAATTTTCATCATCAACTACCATATGTAATGATATAAGTAATTTTTTTTTCTTTTTGCACTTTTTCTTTAAATTAGAAAGGGAAACCACATTTTTTTATGTCGCCAAGCTTTGAAGCTAGATGAATTTGATGAAAATCCATCAACCAAGATCTACCCACACTTTTCTTTAGGCGAATATTTGTTTCAATTACTTCCAATATAAAGATTTTGATTAGATTTTTATCAATTTGAAATGGGTATCAAGATTTGTTATTATTTTTATGGGTTTTGGTTTGAATTTTTATTATTATGGATGGTTTTGAGTTTTGATTTGATGAACTTGTATGGGTATTATAAATATTGATGAATTTGTTTTTGTTAAAATTATGAAAAAATTTCATGAAAGACATTGATGAATGTTGATGGAAAATATTTTTGATTATTGTCATTTAAACATAGAAAGTTATTTTCCTTTAGAATCTCCAAACAATTGAAAATATCATGTTTTCCAAAAAAGCATTTTTCATTGAAAATATTTTATTTTTGGAATATGTTTTCAAGTTATCAAACGGAGCCTAAAAAACGTGAAACTTTAATTTTATAAAAAAATAAAATGTAATATTAAATACATTAAAGTCAAAGTTTTTTATTAAACTGCGTAAAAGTTAATAACACCTAAATAATTTGAGATGAAGAGAGTATATCACAAAAAATTAGGTCTTGTTTAGTCCATAAGATGATGAATAGGATAGGATAATAATCACCCTCTATTATGTTTGGTTTGTATTTTAAAAAAAGGGGATATGATTATGAAGATTAATCATCCTCTTGCTATCGGATGATTCAATTCTTCCAAAATGGAGAAGATTATTTTTAACCCATGGAATTAAACTTACAAATCCTATTATACCTTTAAAAATTACATCAATAATTTAAATTGTATGGATTTTAAGAAAGAATAACTTTGACCAATAAATAAATTATCATATCCTAATCATTACACACATCAAATAATATATGATGACATTGTTTAATCTAATCATATTAATAATATCATTTTATCTTATCTTATGATAATTTTGTATACTGAACACATCCTTATATAGTTAAATGTTATGGTTAGAGATGGCAACATGTAAGATATTTGTTATTTTTAGTTGCATTTTATAGCCACAATAATAGTGGTTTAGATAAAAATTTTCATTATTTATTGCTAAAAAAAAATCATTTTTAGATGATTTTTTAACCTATAAATAATTTTAATTATATTTTTAGGCTATAAGTTTATTTATTTTTTAAGATTTTAAAAATTTAAAATTAATTTTTTATGAGAGATTTTTGTGTAATTTATGATAACATATAATATTTAAACATTGACATTGCATCTAATATAAATTCTATTATTTCTACATTAAAAGCATCTATATTTCAAAAGATGAATCTATTATAACAATGTGCATCTAATACTATGGATTATTTTACTAAAAAAAAATTTTGGGAGTCTATTAAAAACTAGTCTACTAAGAGTGTATTTGGTTAGAGAAAATCCATAAATTTTCCCCTGAAATCTTAATGGTAGATATTTGATTTTCATATTTAGTTCAAAGTAATCCAATTACAATAGAAAATATTAGAATCCTAATAGTACCTAAAGTCTCAAAATCAGAAACTCATATCTCCCTATGATATTCTAGGATTCCGAAGGGGAAAGTTGTCTTATTTTCAAAATTGACCTAAATAAAAAATAATGAAATAGTCGCTACCCATTTGAAAAGTATGTTTGGAAGTGACTGAAACTGAGCTGTAAGTTTTTGTATAGAAAAAAAATTTTATATTGTAATTAAAGCGTTTAGTAAAGAGAAACACATTCAATAATCTTTTTATATTTTTATAAAAATGATTATTTAAGGCGTTTCTACATAGAAAACACCTTAAATATAGAAACCCCTTAAATAATCCTTTTATATTTTAGGATTTAGGGTTAATATTTTTATAAAATGATTATTTAAGGTATTTTTATACAAAAAATAAATTAAGTAATCTTTTTATAAAAGGATTATTTAATGCATTTTTTGCACAAAAATACCTTAAATAATCCTTTAGTTCAAGATAATTCAATTATAAGGAAAAATATTATATTCTCAATAGTACCCAAAGTCCCAGAATTAAAATCTCACCTCTTCTTATGGTATTTTAAGATTTTAGAGGGGAAAATTACCTTATTTCTAAATTTGATCTGAATAAAAAATAATGAAATAACTGTTATCCTTTTGAAATGTATGTTTAGAATCATTTACAGTCAGTCCTGTTTGCATCTCATGGGGTGGCCAGTAAGGGTACTTCAGAAGCTAGTTTTCGTTAAGTCTCTCGACCTAACAACCCTGCGTGGTGGTCAGCCACGGTTGGGACATGTCCAGACAAGAGCCAATGCTTCATCACAGATCACACTGTGAGAACCTTGGATCATGTACACCTGATTTAACCATCTCGTGAACTAGCTTTGATACCATTTACAGTCAGTCCCGCTTGCTTAAAACTCAACTGTAAGTTTTTGTAAAATTTTTTTTATATTGCAATTAAGGTGTTTGATATGAAGAAATGTCTTAAATAATCATTTTATATTTTTATAAAATGATTATTTAAGGTATTTTTACACAAAAATACCTTAAATAATTAAGGTATTTTCTGTATAAAAATACCTTAAATAATCCGTTTGTATTTTAAGATTTAGGGTTTAAGGTCAATATTTTTATAAGAGAATTATTTAAGGTATTTTTTATACAAAAACATCTTAAATAATCTTTTTATATTTTAGGGTTTAAGGTTAATATTTTTATAAAAGATTATTTAAGACGTTTTTTGTACCAAAACATCTTAAATAATTATTTTTAAAATTAAAAGATAATTATTAAATGATTCATAATATAAAAAAATAAAAAAATCATTTAAAACGTTTTTTGTATAGAGACGCTTTAAATTATCCTTTTATAAATAAATTAAAGAAATATTTTTTATTTTTTTCATGATATAAAAAAAGTGGCAGACACATTTATTGAAATTTTTTCTAACAATTTTTTCTTATCCTTTTCTATTACTAAAAAAAATGTCAAATATCTCAATTAATGATATTTTATAAATAAAAATAGCAAAAAAAATATCATTTGTTGTTTGAACATTTATTATTAATAAAATAAAATAAAAAAATTATCATCATATATATCAAAAAAATTTATGATAATTATCTAAGAATTAATATACATAAATTTTTTTTATCTAAATGAATGAATATAAATATAAAATATCTTAGAAATAAAAAAAAATTACGTATTGTACTTGTTTGTAAATTACTATTTTTTTTTTTTCAGAATTCAAAATTTTGTTCTACGAACGTACCCAACAGTGTTTTAATCTATTTTAAAAAAATAAGACAAAAATATTGAAGACAAAAACAAACAAAAAGCTGAAAGGAATCCCTGTTGACTAGACCCAGCATCACTGGATGCAGCTAGTGTTTGCCTGACTCTTTTCTGTCGTCCTTTTGTATGTTTTATTGTATTCTTTTCCTTCACATCATCACTACGTATTACCCACACTCTTACCAATGAAAACAGAAAAAATACACTCTTAATAACACAGTCTCGTCTTCGAACGTCGTAAAGGCCAAACAAGAGAAACACAGTGGCTAAATCCACCCACATTATCAGCGTTATCATATCCTTATCCTCTTTGTCTTGAACAAAAACATAAACAACGAGCAGAACCAAAAATGGCGGCCCAATTTTTTTTCATTGCCATTCTTTTTTTAATCCTAATACAGGTGACTAAACCAGATCTTGTCAACGACAGAGCAGCGCTGTTAGCCCTTCGTTCCTCGGTCGGAGGTCGAACCCTGTTGTGGAACATCTCCAATCAGAGTCCATGCTCCTGGGCTGGGGTCAGGTGCGAGCAGAACCGCGTTACAGGGCTTAGGCTACCTGGTGTTGCACTCTCTGGCGAAATCCCACCTGGCATTTTCGGGAACTTGACCCAGCTGCGCACCCTCAGTCTCCGTCTCAACTCGTTAACCGGGCAGCTTCCTTCGGATCTTGCTCTTTGTGAAAATCTCCGAAACCTTTACTTGCAAGGGAACCGTTTTTCGGGTGAGATCCCGGAGTTCCTGTTTGGTCTTCATGATTTAGTGAGGCTAAATCTTGGCGTTAATAATTTTTCTGGGGAAATCTCTGCTGTTTTCAACAATTTGACGAGGTTAAGAACTTTGCTTCTGGATAGCAACAGCCTTTCTGGGTCAGTACCTGATTTGAGTTCTTTGCAAAATCTCAATCAGTTTAATGTGTCAAATAATTTGTTGAACGGGTCAATACCAAAGGGGTTACAGAAATATGGGTCCGCCGCTTTTCTGGGGAATTTGCTTTGTGGACAGCCACTTGACAAGGCTTGCCCTGCTACTGCTGTTGCCGGTAATGCAACTGAGTCTGCGAATCCCACGGACGAGAATAAACAAGAGAAAAAGAAGAACAGAAAGTTGTCTGGAGGTGCAATTGCAGGTATTGTGATTGGATCTGTGCTGGGATTTCTATTGATTATTATAATTTTAATGATTTTATGTAGAGATAACAGCAGCAAGAAAACGAGGGCAATTGACATTGCTTCGATTAAAAATCAAGAATTGGAGATTCCTAGGAAGAAATCAGGTGGGGAAATGGAGAGTGGTGGACATGGAAATGGGTATTCGGTGGCGGAGGCAGCAGCAGCAGCAATGGTGGGTGGTGGTGGTGGAGTGAAAGCAGGTGAAACCAATGGGACTGGAGCTAATAAGTTGGTTTTCTTTGGGAATGCGGGGAGAGTGTTTGATTTGGAGGATTTGTTGAGAGCTTCCGCTGAGGTTTTAGGTAAAGGAACGTTTGGAACAGCATATAAAGCAGTGTTAGATGGTGGAAATGCAGTGGCTGTTAAGAGGCTCAAGGATGTGACAATTTCTGAGAGGGAGTTCAAAGATAAAATTGAAGGGGTTGGAGCTATGGATCATCAAAATTTGGTCCCTCTCAGAGCATACTATTTTAGTAGGGAAGAAAAGCTTCTTGTCTATGATTACATGCACATGGGAAGCTTGTCTGCACTTTTGCATGGTGAGCATTTTTTTTTTTTTTTGGGTTAAATTCGGAGCATTCCTTTTTGGATCGTTTATTGCTTCTTTTGAACTTGCTCAATTTCATATGTAGATGGTATTCATTCTTCATAGGTGAATGATGTTGCATTTATCTCCTCATTCTGCCATTTTCTTATCCTTTTATGAGCAAAATTCAATTTTGTTTTCTTCTAAGTGTTTGGTGTCAAACTCCTTTGATTTCTTTAGCATCATTTTCAGCCCTTTCTGGAGATTCCATCATAATTTAGAGTTATTGTGCTGTATGTAGCTTTTAAGTTTTCTTCCATATTTTCACTGTTTTGGGATGCAGGGAACAAAGCAGGAAGGACTCCACTGAACTGGGACATTAGATCTGGAATTGCTGTTGGAGCTGCCCGTGGAATCGAATACCTGCACTCTCAAGGGCCTAATGTCTGTCATGGAAGCATAAAATCGTCAAATATCCTCCTCACTAAATCCTACGAGGCTCGAGTTTCCGATTATGGCCTAGCACACCTTGTAGGGCCTTCCTCCACTCCCAATCGAGTGGCTGGGTACCGGGCACCAGAAGTGACTGAACCCCGCAAAGTATCACAAAAGGCTGATGTTTATAGCTTTGGTGTGTTGCTTTTGGAGCTCTTGACTGGGAAAGCCCCCACCCATTCGATCTTGAATGAGGAAGGAATTGACCTCCCAAGATGGGTGCAGTCAGTTGTTGGGGAGGAATGGACATCTGAGGTTTTTGATATTGAGCTCCTTAGGTATCAGAACGTGGAGGAACAGATGGTTCAACTCTTGCAACTTGCAGTAGATTGTGCTGCCCAATACCCTGACAAGCGCCCCTCTATGTCACAAGTGACAAGGCGTATTGAGGAGCTACGTCGTTCTAGTTTGGGAGAAGATCAGCCTGTTAAGGTCAATGATGCCGATGAGTAAGCTCAGTCCGGCCACCAATACCATATTCTCTGATGGATTTATCCCTGCTTTATCCATAATTAGTATGTAAAGCTTTGTGGTCTAAATTTTCCTTTGTTAGATGCCAATTGTCTATTTCTTTTCTCCTTTTTCCATTTCCCTCGGTTCCTCCCAAAAAAAAAAAAAAACCCAGCGGCCATGGTACTAGTTTTTATTTTCTTTTTATTTTTTTAATTTATATTTAGAGGTGGATATACGTTCCATTTGTTCTTTATCGGGTGGATCTTAGTGGTTTGAATTATTACTTTTGCTTTTGATGCAACTTTTGATCTGTTTGACCAGGCTGTTGTTTCAGTTGCTTTGAAACGTTGGTTGTGATGCCTACTTAAAAAAAAAAAGAGAATTTCTCTAGAAACATGAATTGGCGTTGTCTAATGATTTTAATAAGAAATTACATTGAAAATACGTATAATTAATTATAGAATCATGAGAAAATAATTATTCAGATATGAAATTTAACAAGTTTTGAAATTTACAAATAATAAATATTTATAAAATAATATCTAATATCAACAAATTAACAAATATTTAATATCAATAAGTTAATAAATTTATTTGTGTTGATAATTATAATTTTCTAGTAATTTACCCTCACTTTGGATTAATATATATTGGGATCACTTTTTTTAATGTCAACAAATAATAAATATTTACCAAATAATATCTAGTTTCAACAAATTAACAAACATCTAATGTCAACAAATTTATAAATTTATTTAATGCTTTATTTTCTTTCAATCAAAGTTTTGTTCCTTTACGTTCTTTCTTTGTCCTTTCCCTCTTCATATATAAATATATATATATATTTATTTATTTATTGGACTCTTTCATTTCTTCTTAAATATAAATTGTGGACATTAGATACCTGTCCAGCTCAAAAAATACCAAGTCCAACCATTTGTTGACAGACGCTTGACTTTTTCATTGCTTCTTTATACAAAACAATATGTAACTGTGCACGCTTGTTCAGCCCAATAAAAATCCTTTCCAAAAAAAGACCTGGATGGAATCTTCATATTTTTTTTAAAGTCAATTAGTATTAGATGTAAAGATCGATCTATTGGTCTTCGAACCTTTAATTTAGTGAATAAAGATACTTAAAAAGATATTAAAAATTTTATTTTGAATTCAGGTTTTTTTATTTTTTTATTTGTATTAAGATTTTATCTTTCTAATATAATTAAAAAAATGAATTTATTAGAATTATTTAAAATTAAATTAATCAAATCATATTATTTTATTTTAATTAATTAATTTAAATTTATTAATTTAAAAATTTTAATTAATCAAATTTAACTTGATTATTTTGATTAATTTTAAATGACGTTTGATTAACAAAATCTTGAGTTTCGAGAAAAATGTGATTCTTGAAAAAGTATGATACTCAATTTTCTTTTATTTTCAAGATATCTCGTGTTTAGATTTACTCATTTAATTACAAAAAAATCATGTATATTAATTCTTGTATAATTACTATAATTTTTTTGACATATATGATGATAACTTTTTTATTTTGTTTTGTTTTATTAATAATAAACATTCAAACGACAAATGATGCCTTTAATAGAAAAAAAAGAATATTTTTTATTTGATTGCTATTTTTATTTGTAAAATATCATCAATTGAGTTATTTGACCCTTTTTGAGTAACAAAAATTTATAAAGAAAATTGTTAGAAAAAATATTAATTAATGTGTTTGTCACTTTTTTTATATCATGGAAAAAATTTAAAATGTTCCATTAATTTATTTATAAATGGATCATTTAAAGTGTTTTTGTACAAAAATGCTTTAAATAATTCTTATATATTTTTTATATTATGGATCATTTAATAATCATCCTTTAATTTATAAAAAACATTATTTAAAACATTTTTGTATAGAAAACACTTTAAATAATTTTTTAAAAAATATTAACCCTAAACCCTAAAATATGAAAATATTATTTAAGATATTTTCTGTACAAAAACGTTTTAAATAATCTATTTATAAAAATATAAAAAAATTATTTAAGATGTTTTTATACAAAAAATATCTTAAATAATACTTCTATAAAAATATAAAAAAATTATTGAAGTCGTCTCTTTATGCCAAACACCTTAATTACAATACAAAAAAATATATTTTTTTTTGCACAAAAACCTATAACTAAGTTTCAATTACTTTCAAACATACTTTTTAAAAGAATAATAGCTATTTCATCATTTTTTATTTAGGTCAAATTTAGAAATAAACTTTCTCTCTCGAAATTTTAAAATATCATAAGGAGATGTGAGTTTCTTATTCTAAGATTTTAGGAATTATCGAAAATCTGACATTTTTCTCCATAATTGGTTTACTCTAAACTAAATATGTGAATTAAACACCTACCATCAAAATTTCAGAGAAAATTTTATAGATTCGACCAAATTAAACATACTATTAAAATAATTGAATAATAAAGTATATTTAAATTAAATTATATTTTGAATTTTGAATTTTTTATATTTAAAATAAATTAAATAAAATTATTTAATAAAATATTTAAATATAAAAATATTAAATTAAATACTCTAACAACTTATACAAATAAAAAGGATCATTTCATTTGCTTTTTGTTTTATGAAATTGTGATACAAAGAGTTAAACGTAAGATATAGAAATGGTGAAAAAAAGCAGAGTTATAAAATAATAAAAAAAAATCAGCAAAATTATTCAAACTCCATAAGTTTGATCTTAATTTAAAAAAAAACCAAAAGTGAAACCTTTTCATTGTACTTTACTAGAACAACATTTCCTATATCCATATCCTGCATGAATTTATATATATCATATAAACCTAAAAAAAATATATTCATAAATCTCTCTTACATAAATCACAAAAGGATATTCCAAGAATAACAACTTTAAACGCTGAACTTAAAATATTGGAATTCAATATTAAGAATGAAAATGTGGTATTCTGCTCTTCATCTTTATTTTTTTATCCATTAGTTTTTTATATAACATTGCTTATTTAATTCATCACTTTCTAATATATTTTTAGGCATCTTTTGGTAGCCATAATACATTTTTTTAATATTAATTTTGTACACTTGACCAAAGTTTAGATATCAAACGTGCAATTAACTCTCCCTTTAAATATAATAAAAAAATTTCTCAATTTACTTTTGAAAATTAAGGAAAGGGAAATTGAAAAGAAAAAAAAAAAGAAAGAAGAATAGAAGTTATTTTTTTAAATAGATTAAAAAACAGAGAAAAAAAACTTAATAATAAAATTATTAATACATCGAATGAATGTTTTCATTTTACTTTTGGGAAGAATAACGAGAGAAAAGACGTCTAAATCTATTCTTTTTTCCTTTCCATTTCTTTCCTACTAAATTAACGTTACGTTTGAATAACTATTAATAAAAAAAAAATTTTTTTTAAAAGAAAAGAAAATGATACATGTGTTTTTTATTTAGATAGTTGAAATTAATAAAAAAAAATAAAAAATTTTAACAAACATTATTTAGATAAATAATGAAAAAAATAATTCATTATAATATTTTTTTATAAAAGAACATATAATATACTACCTAACTTATATAAACAAATCTTTTTAAACAAAATTGAGAATATTTAATACAATAAGATGTATTAGTTAGTTATTAATTTACTCTTAATTTTGTATTTAATTCAACTTTTTAATTTATTCTAATAATAATTTGGCTTGTTTTGTTGTTAAGATTTAAAAAATCATAAAATATTTTTAAACTGTGATATTATATAAAATACTCATAAAAATTATTTTTATAGGAAGTATCAGTTATATAGTCAAATCTAATGTCATAATAAAAATATAAATATAATAATTTTTTTATAAAAATAAATATTTTTTAACTTTCTTTTCTGTTACTTTTCTTTTAAATTGAGGTATTGAAAAAATAAAAATTATAAAAAAATAAAAAATTATTGAATTTTTACTTCTTTCATTTTCTTAAAATTAAAGTTTATCCAAGTCAAAAAAAGATTTTTTTATTTTTATTACTTTTCTTTATTTTCCTTTCATTTCCTTGTCCTCCCCTAAATCCAAACATAACATAGAGAGAAAATTTAGAAGAAAAAAACGTTTTTTCTTTCCACACCTTTTTCAGTTTTCCTTTCTTTCTCTTCTAACGAAAAACATTGTTAACGTTTTCTCATCCATATATTTGTTTATATCAAGCATATTATAAGATCAAACATTTTTAAAAACAACAATAAATTAGAATGAATCCAATTGACAGAAGACTTGGAAAAAAAAATCAAATGTCCTACTACCTTACACTATGCTCGTAAACTATAGGCTTAATAAGAAAGAAAAAAAATGAAGAAAAAAAGTTATTTTTTCTTCATTATTTTAGGTACGAAGGATGAAAAATAAAGAAAAAAATATATGATAAAGTTATAAATAAAATTATTAATTTAAGATACACGAAACTTACTTAAAATAATTTACTCATGAATTCTCACAAAATTGAAAATTGAATTTTAACGCTTTAGAAAATTTTCTTTCCCAATTGCCTGCAAAATTTGAACTACATTTGTAATAATAATAATAAAAAAGAAAACTCTTATTAATTAAATTTAAAAAAATTAAACCTGACAATTTATGTATTCGTATAATGTAAAATATTAAAATTTATATATTAATACCATATTTTACACAAATTACATAATACGAAAATATAAAATATTTTTTATTTTTTATTTTATTAAACTTATATATAATTATTATTACAATTTTAAACTCTTATATATATCATGTCACTATATCATGTTTTAAATTCTCAGATCTAAATAAAAGTTTTTCTCAAATTTAATTTTTCTTTCCTCTTGTTATTTCCCTTTACTAAGAAAGGTAAAAGTGGATGGAAAGTAAATTTTCCTTTCACCCTTTTCTTTTTCTCTTTCCCTCCTATCAAACACAATGTTCATGTAAAGGAATGCAAAAACACGGCAAGCTCCCTTTGATAAGAAAATAGAGGAAAAGAAGAAAAATATTTTACTCAAGTGATTGAGATAGAAGATTGTATATATTGATTGTTATGCAGCTCAATTACCTTTCTTTTCTACCAAAAAGAGTTTTAAGGTAAAGAAGCAATTAATTATATGTCCTTCCATCCGATAATTGACTCGAACAATCTTGCAACTTATAAGTGGACCAAATACATTTAGGTATCATCCTGAGGCCAGGTTGTTAGCGGCCATAGTGAGAATGGCAAAATTTTGAGTGCCAAATAAATATTCAATGCAAAATATAAGGCCTTCTCATATTTCATACATATTACTTAGAAGTGACATTTTCCAACCTTAAAACAAGGCAAAATTATAACTTCTCCTAAGCATCTGGCAATTCTTACAACAGCCTAAACACTTTTCAACTGAACATAAAGGGATGTGTTTTCATTGCCCTGAAGACTATGGATAAAAAACAAAAAAATCACAAATTATACCATTGGCCAAAAGATCATAACCAACAGGATACATTAGGGTTCTCAAGAGTCCAAGCAGCTGCACGGTAAAATTGAAATCCCAGTGTAGGGTTGTTACCTATTAAAACAGCACATCCCGAAGCAATTCCAATCCCAAGTTATCTTCTATCTCTGCATGCGTGAAACACCAGATCAACTTATTTAACAATACAAACATATCTAATCAAAAGAAACAAAAGTTGTAGAAAATTCAAATAGCATACATGTACAGGGTATACAAACAACACGGGTGATGACACTCCTTATATATGCCACATCAATCTAATGTCAAATAACCAAGCTCTCACAAAGAAGAGGAACTTCCTATGCATTAGGATTTGCTGGATGATCATCCTTCCAACCTCTGGAAAGCAGGTCATAGTTAATCGATGCGAGCTGGGACAGATTCTAACAACCGCAATGAAAAAGAGAGTGAGGAAGTTGTAGCAAAACTTGATCAAGTTCCAAAAAAAACTAAATACAAAATTATTCGTCAAGAGGAGAAGCACAATAACCCATCAAATGATAGAGTCATATTGTAAATTGACAATAACCACAATGCAGTTTCAAATCAATATCAAGACCACAATAATACCGGCATATTGCAGAACAGGAAACTTTGTTGCTTACTAAATTTAACTATTAAGAATTCTGCAAACCATCTTTCATAAGAACAACATGAACATTAAAAAGTCCAACAGACATTACGTGTGTATTTAGATTTATATGTGTACATATAACAAATCATTGGATTAAGGCAACATTGATGTAATAAAAAAGGAGCAGGAAACGAAAGGGATTCCAAAATTTATTAAAAAAAATTTTGAAAAATTAAAATCTTTCTCTCGGTGTCATTCTAGCAACAGTTAAAGAGCAAACTAATGCACTTACAGCCAAACTAAAACAAAAATTCCTAATGTATTCTTACTAGGTAAAAGAATACCTTAAATGAGAAATTACTGAAAGAATAATTGACAGATGAACCAGATTCAAATTCAGCCAGGCCTCCACACTCATCTCCCTGTTTCATTTGTGGCCAACAGAACAACAGAGAGTCAACAACAAAAATCATAGATAATCATTCCTTATAAAACTGCAAATTTCTAGGGCTAAGATACCACTTCATCTTGGCGGTTGCTCAGGCAACTACTACTGCCACTTAAACTGTCAGCATCACTGGAATAATCAAGTTCACTACCAGGATAAGCATGGTCATCTGAAGTATTCCATGAGTAGCGACTTGTAAAGTAACTAGTATCGAGTGCACTCTCTGAAGTGGGAACAAAGGCAGCCTGTAAAATGTGAAAAGCATGCTGAGCAGATATAAAACACTTAAAAACAGTTATAGATGGTTTAGAATTCATCATTAATGGTAAAGGCATTCACACCTTTTGCCTTGCAAGAGTGTCCCAATTGATATCTTTGAAAAATACATGCTGCTTCACCTGTATAAGAATTTCATTGTTTGTAATTCAAACATCTAAGTCAGGCAATTATGAGAAAAAATATAATACGCAAAATTATAAAGAAAAAGGAAAAAATACTCAAAACTTCTACTTAAATCAATAACCAATATCACCTCCAATGCTCCTCTAGCTCCAAGTCTCTGATGGGGGTCTTCTGTCAACAGTCTGGAAATTGAACAAATTAAGCAATTTTAAGTCCATAACGAGGCACTTGAACCAAGAAAAATACTCAAATGAAAAGAGCATTACAAAAACTAGGAGACTACTGAGATACATTAAAGCTTGACACCAGCGACTTTGAAGAACCCTCAGTTAGATCATCTTACAAAGTTAAGGATATCATGTTGCCAAATGTTGGGACTGATAAAAAATCAATAAATTTAAAGTTATTATTATTTTTTTTTAAAGGAGCATTAATGGTCCGAAACACACAAGGTCCTTAAAACATATGACAATGTGACATACTGTAAAACTGTTCACATATTAAAACATAATTTCTAAGATATTGAATGTTTAAATAAATTGCTAATATAATCACAAAAGTTAGCTTATTTGTAATCTATAAATGATCTTCAAAAAGGAGAACAAAGAAACTTCTGGAGAAACAAAACTATAGAGGAATACAGGATAAAAGTTTCATCAAATATCTCGTAGGATTGCAATAGCAACAATTAAGATGATATAGCAGCATCTCACTGTATCAGTATATGCACATAAAAGAGAGGTTTCGGTCCTATAGATTGAGAAAATAATGCTGTGATCTTGTTAGGAAAATATAAATCTAATTATGATAATAATGTGTGCACAGATGTGTATGGATCCATCCCCATAGCTTGATGTTTTAGAAATGTTGCTTTCATGTTGGTGACAGAGATAATTACACTACACAGGCATGTTCTTGTATCTAGAGTTTTGGAAAATGTTGTGTTTGATATTTCTGTGTTGGCGCTTGATATAGCAACAAATTCACAGCTTTATTTTCTTGGCCATAGGACTAAAACCTCTGTTTTAGTAAAGCCATAAAGCAAATATAGTACAACTGTCTTTGTAAACCACACAATGCTCCAGAAAATGTTTCCTTAAACATGTCAAAATGATGTCCACGAAATAATGTTATAAGAGAATACTTAGATCCATTATTTGCATTACAACTGTTATTTATTTCAACATGCATCAAATTCTCAAGAAATACCAACATGACATCAACAAAACAATTTCCTTACCGATCAATTAGATCTTGTGCTTCCAGGCTCATTTCTTCTGGTGCCCGTGGCCAAGGTATTTTACGGTTGAGAATATTATCAAATATTATCTAGAACCAAAATATGGAAAAAAGCGATGTAAGAATGAGATAATTTAAAATGCAAATTTCAAAGTGGATGGCACATCAATAAATTTTAGCAGCATTTTAAAGAAATCCAATAGTTGAGAAAGTGCACAATCTTTAAAGAACTAAAAAAACCCCTTAAAACAACATCAACATTAGAGTATCCACGTATCCCACTTTTTGAACCAAAAGATTAAAAAAAGAAGTATCAAGTTTCCTACTAGGTCAGGAGTCCCAAGTCCCAAAACTAACTAGAAAGTGGGTAAATCTACCATGATGGCTTTGCACTTTTGACTCAATCAAACAGAAGATAAACACCCTTAATTGTCCTAGATGCTAGAAAAGAACCAATATTATATTATGTGCTCTTATGTTTACTTCTAATATTGTGTCAGCAGTTTCTATCCCTGCCAAGAAAGGAACATCTGGCTCCTAACTAAAAAATATAGTCATTTATTGGCATAAGACTTCTGTCTTCCAATCCATGCACTATCACAACAAAATTATGAAGGTAACTAGCATTGAGCATTGTGATTGGATATTTGTCAAAGGTACAATTGATGAGGTATGTCAAATGATGTGGCATTTAAAATGCCATGTGTTTGATGACAAGGCATTATCTCCACGTGATTACAAAATCAAAAAAAAATTTTTCCTCTCATTCCTTCCACCTTCTTCTTTCTCTATAATCTTTCTCTTTCTAAAACTTTAAAGTCTCAAGAACAGTCATCACTTTTGCCCAGAATCCTCTGCCATCCACCATCACCAGCCGCCACTAAATGGAGCATGAATTACCCCAAAAATTCTCCTTGATCTCCTCTACCCTTTCTTCATGCTAGTTCTTCCTAAAAATCCCTAGATCGAAGACTCAAACCACAACTCCCAAAATCTTCACTATTCGATCTCCACCAGCCAGCCGATCTTCACAGCTTATTCTTCTTTCTTTCCTTCATAAATACAGACATTCATAGCTCGTTACAAGCAACCTGATGACTCACAAAGTAAACCAAGGAAATGAACTCTTCCACTACTGCTAGCACTGAGCACAACCAAGCCATCAAATCCCTCACTTCTCAGGTAATTTAACTCTTAATTTTACGAAGTCAAGATTTTTGAGTTCTTTGGTCTTTGTTTGGTTTTTAACTAGAGTAGTTTTCCTTTTGTATATATTTTTTTCATTTGGTGTTTTAGTTGAAGGACATGAAGCTAAAGGTGTTGAGGGCGTATAAGCACTGCAACTCCTGTAAGGCACAAAGTCAGTTGAGGTACTCCAACGAGTCTAATGCAGACTCAGACAAGTTCAGATGGTCTTATAGTACGAATAGGATATCGAGCTTGGCGACATCGAAGACATTGGGAAATGAGATGGAAGTCAGGTTGAAAGGGATATCGAGTTTGAACAAAGAAGCAAATCCGAAATCAATGAGTGGGCACCAAGTCAAATTGATTGTGTTTATTGAAGAAAGTGAGGCTAAAGGGAGGGTGCACAAATGAAGTGCAGCATGCTTATCACCTCCGCTTTGCTTCAGCTTGGTGCAACAATCTTAAGCTGATACGCTTTAGGAGCACTGTCATTATTCTGGTTTTCTATTTTGATGGTTCTAATTAGTTTTAAGAATGGGCAAACATTTGTTTAGTTATCTGGTGCAAATGTTTGTTTGTCTGTGATGCTCTACAATTTTCAAGAAGTAAAATCATTTGTCAAAAAATTGGGAAAACATAGGAATGAGACTCGAAAAAACCACTAATCAAGATTCAACAAAACCCAACCTAGGCAGGGCAGCCGCATGAATCAGACCTGAAGAGGAAGAAGAGGATGAAGAAATCAGAACAGAGGTATTTATTTTGAAGAATTTTTGTCTTAACCAGAGCTAGGTTGCCACATCATTATCCATGTGGCATTTTACTTGTAATGTGGAATGAAACAAATGCACTGGATGTAGACAGGACATCCACGTGGCAATCCAAATGGAGCCGTTAGTCATGTGGAATGAAACAAATGCACTGGATGTAGACATGACATCCATGGCAATCCAAATGAAGTCATTAGTCATGTGCTGCCCCACGACTAACTTCCGTTAAAATCAGACCAATTTGATCAGAAATAAAAGCAAGAGGGCCAAGTTGACTCTAATAAAAGATGAGGGGCTAAATGATCCTTTTTTCATAGTTTGAAGACCAAAAATGATATTATGCTGTAAAAGAAACTGGCCATTTAGTGGAAATCAAAATTTAACAATGGAATAAAAAGAACATGAGATATAGAGATCTAAATTATGAAGTAGGAAAGACAACTAAGATTTGACAGTGTAACTCAACATTCATATATCGACAGCACTATAAATCTCAAGCAATCTGTAAAAAAAGGTTGATATCCTTCAAAGTTTTCAACGGAAGAGTAAAGAAAAAACAATCTACTCTTTGAGAAGGAAGAAAAGAGAAATAAAATTCATAACAAGAAAAGTCAAAGGGAGCAGAACAATCAGTATTAGCAAGAACACTAACACATAGAATCAAGATATTACCTGCGGATGTTCTGCATTGAAGGGTGGAATGCCAACAATCAGTTCAAACAAAATGATGCCCACAGACCACCAATCCGCCGTTGCACCTGTGGAAAATTGCATGATATGGTGAACTTACTGGTTTGAAACACTATCAACCAAAGAAGAAATGCATAAACAAGATATCAGTCATAAAATCTTTTAATCAACTAAATTATTTGGATCCAAGTTGCTTAAGCTTCTAGGGATATATACCTTTCAGGTTGACCATATCTTAATCTAACATGACCTTTAAAACAAACAGGTGATGAAAAGATAATTAAAGAACCTTAAACTAAAAAGCATAATACAAACCATGTCCTGTTCCCAAAAGAATCTCTGGTGCCAAATAGTCAGGTGTACCCACAGCAGAACGTTTCTTCCGCCTTTCTTGCCGGTGCTCAGATGCAAATAATTGAGGTTGCTCATCATCAAGTAGAGATGTGCCACTAACTGCTGGACCAGATAAGTCATCAGTGCTATTGATGAGACCAACCTTTGAAAGCCCAAAATCTGTCAACTGCTCCGATAGAAAAATTTACTATAAGTTGAAAGGGTATATTCAAATAAAATGAAAGGTAAAAAAATTTTAATACTGAACAATTAATCTCGATGTCACATTCCTTTTAAGTACCCTCATTTGCTTAACAAATTATCCTCTTGTAGAAAAAATATAGGTAGTCCCTTGACCTCTCAATCACATCTCACCTTTCATTGTAATGGGTTTTTCTCTAATTAGACACACACTTCCTCTTGCCCTTGTAATCTCAAATAAATTTCATAAATTATGATAAAACAGTTGATTAAATGATGATATTTTGCATTGATAATAATAATAATAATAATAATAATAATAATAATAATAATAAAATTAATTGTAAATAGAGAGATGGTGTTTAGATTCCAACCAAAAAAAAGATGATATTTTGCATTATGGCTGTCAATAACTGCACATTTAGAATTACTGAAAACAACGAACCAAGTGACAATAAGTATGCCATGTATATATCCTAATATCTGTCAAAAGGAGGAAAACAAGGAAGGTCATATTAACCGTTACCTTGATATGACCATCGTGTGCAATCAACAAATTATCAGGCTTCAAATCACGATGAACCACGTGCCGAGAATGTAAATACTCCAAGGCAAGCACCTGCAAAATATATGTATATTTAAATATACACTAAATAACAAAGAAAAAGAATTCAACTAACATAAGCCAAAAAATATACATTCCTTATAATAGATTAAACTAAAACTTATTTATCAAAAAAAAAAAAACAACACTTACTACTTCCGCTATGTATACACGAGCAACCTCTTCATTCAAGCAGCCTAAATTTCTCAACAATGAATATAAATCTCCTCCATTTAAATACTCCATCACAAGATACAAATTCTCACGGCAAGTAAATGAATAGAAGAATCGAACCTGATACAGCACATAGACGTAAGAATAAGATAACAGGTTCTCAAGGAAGGTCAATTCTTTGCAAGTTAAACCTGCTCACCACAAATGGGTTGCGAACTGAAATCAAAATATCACGCTCTGCTAATATACTTTCAACTGCATTCTTTCGAATCATATCTGCCTTCTTTAGAACCTGTAACAAACAGCATAAACATATTTTTAATTGAAAATTAACTCCCCTTTACCTCTCAGTGGCAAGCTAAGTGCACAAATGATGAACATGAGATGCGGGGCTCAAACATGATACATTAGAAATATAGAGGGGAGTCACAATAAAAAGCTAGCAGAAAATGCCTTTAACACGAGAATTATGTAGAACTCTAATCTTCATTATTACTTGATTAGTTGACTTTGTCTATTTTATTTAAATCTCTTATTTTTAGAATAAGGAGTGATTTGGGTAATTACACCGAATCCATTAGATATTTTCCTATTATATATGGAGAGTAAACATTTGATTAGTTGTTTTAATGCATGAAAATCTTGGGTTTTAAGGTTGAGAATATTCAGTTTTTAGCCTATATATTTTAATGCAATTCTAGCATTGTAATAAGAAAAAAAATAAAAGAATAAAATAGTTTTACTCTAGAGGTTTCTTCATAGTATCAAAGCATGATCTGAACCTTTGAAAATTTTCACTGGGAGTCCAGCATGGCCAGCGGAAAGGAGAGCTCGACGTCGGAGGTTACCTTTAACCTTGGAGCTAGCATTTCCAATCATTATAGAACATTACTACTCCTATTCAAAAAAGTTCTTTAGCACAAAAAGGTAATTTTTTTAAACGCTTTGACTGTAAAACTAGATAAATCAAATTCATGGATTGTGGATTCAAGAGCTTTAGACCATATGATTGGGGATGCATCTGTATTTAGTAAATACAACCCATGTCATGAAAACTTCACAGTTCGAATTGCTGATGGGTCATTTTCAAAAGTAACCGGTACAAGTTCTATTATTATTTCCAACACTTGATTCTATTCTAATTGTCCTAAATCTAAGTTACAATCTACAGTCCATAAGCAAACTTACAAGAGACCTTAAGTGTGTTGCTAAATTTCTTCCAAATATGTGTGAATTTCAAGATTTGGATTCAGGAAGATGATTGGCAATGCTAAAATGTGTGTAGGACTCTATATCCTAAAAGCAAATGATTCTGAAAGATAATATCAAAGGACCTCTTGTGTGGCTCCATTCTTCAGTAATAATAAAGATAGTACTATCATGTTGTGGGACTATCGGTTAGGTCATCCAAATTTTTTATACCTCAAAAGATTGTTTCCCTCATTATTCAATCAAAATCCTAACAACTTTCAGTGTGAAGTTTGCCAACTATCCAAACATACTTGTACCACATATCCTAATCAGCCTTACAAATCATCCTATCCTTTTTCAATGATACACAGTGACATTTGGGATCCCTCCAGAGTAAATAACATTACGGGCTCCACATGGTTTGTCACATTTATTGATTATCACACTAGGGTTACTTAGGTATTCTTTATGAAAGAAATATCAGAAGTGGGCCAACTATTCCAAAACTTCAACAATATGATCCAAACTTAATTCAAATCTAAAATCCAAGTGTTGAGAACAAAAAATGGGAAAGAATACTACAATGTAATTCTTGGATCATGTCTAATGAAGCATGGTATAATTCATCAAAGCTCATGTGTCGACATTCCTCGACAAAATGGGGCTGTTGAAAGAAAGAATCGACATTTGTTGGAAGTTGCGAGATCCTTCATGATGGCTGCTCATAGACCTAAGCATTTTTGGGGTAAGGTTGTTCCACTGCTACATATCTTATAAACAGAATGCCATAAAATTTCAAAACCCCTTCTCAGTTCCTATCCTCACATTCGAATCTAATCTATTCCCATTAAAGTGTTTGGATGCACTACATTTGTTCTTACCAACCAACAAAACCAAAGCAAATTAGATCCAAAATCCATCAATTGCATATTTCTCGGATACTCCTCAAATAAAAAAGGATACAAATGTTACTCACCAGTAACGAAGAAATTCTACCATTCCATGAATGTTACCTTTTTTGAAAATCAACCATACTTTCCCAAAACTACCATTCAGGGAAAGAATCCACATAGGAATATCAGCTTTGGGAAGATCCTATTACCGACCCACCAAATACTTCTCAAACTCCTTTTCATGTCCAAAACATCCAACCAAATCCTCCAACTCCTTTTCAAATCCAAAAAATCCAACCAGATCCTCAAAGCCCAAAGTCAACATAGGGGAAAACAAACAAAGAATTGATTGTCTATTCAAGAAAACATAATACTCAAAGGATCTAGGAGAATGTACACCTTCAAAGCAAAACCAAGAATCTGAACCGATTCTAGAGATACTTGAAACCCACATAGGTAACACTCTCATTGAATCTGTTTCAATTAAATCTTTTTAAAGATCTTGATCAATCGATTGCTCTAAGGAAAGGGGTGAGATCATGTACTCAACACCCAATTTGTAATGTCGTTTCTTATAAAGGTTTATCACCCAGTTATCGGGCTTTTCTTACCACACTAAACAATATGCAGGTTCCCAATAATATTCATGAAGCACTCATGCAACCAAAATGGAAGATGGCTGTTTTGTAAGAAATCAAGACCCTAGAAAAGAACAAAACATGGGAGATTTCATAACTACCCGAAGGAAAAAATCCAGTTGGGTGCAAATGAATTTTTACAGTCAAGCACAATGCAGATGGAAATATTAACAGGTTCAAAGCTCGCTTTGTTGCAAAAGGATTTACTCAATCTTACGGTGTTGAATGTGAGGAGACATTTGCTCCGGTTGTCAAACGTATTTCAATCTGAGTGTTATTATCATTGGCAGCAAATCTAGATTGGCCACTACACCAATTAGATGTCAAAAATGCATTTCTTAATGGCGACCTAGAAGAAGAAGTTTACATGGAAACCCCTCTAGGATTCAAAAACCAAGACAATTCTGGCAAGGTAAGCTTCAAAAGTCCTTATATGGTCTCAAACAATCCCCACGTGCATGGTTTGATAGACGAACAAAAGCAGTAAAAAAAGTATGGTTTTTCACATTGCCAAACCAATCACACCATCGTCAAACATTCACCTGAAAGAAAAATAGCCATTCTTATTGTCTATGTGGATGAAATTATTCTTATTGGACACTATGTGGAAGAAATTAGCAACCTAAAAAACCTCCTAGCCAAAGAATTTGAAATCAAAGATTTAGGACACCTCAAATATTTTCTTGGCATGGAGGTAGCTCACTCAAGGAATGGCATCTCTGTTTCACAACGTTAGTATGTCCTAAAGTTACTAAAGGAAACCGGAATGCTTGGATGCAAACCTACTGACACCCCTATGGACACAATGAATAAGGTAGGAATGGATGAAAGAAGTCCACCAACAAATAAGGGCAGGTATCAAACACTTGTTGGGAAACTCATCTACCTTTCTCATACAAGACCAGATATCGGTTTTTCAGTTAGCATGGTAAGCAAATTCATGAACATCCCAACCGAAGAACACTTGAGGCCTGTGTATTGAGTCTTACAGTACCTAAAGAAAAGTCCTAGCAAAAGGTTATTTTTTAAGAAGACACCATGCCGAAATGTTGAAATTTACACTAATGCGGATGGGGCTAGATCTGTTACTGATCGAAGATCAACTATTGGTTATCGTACCTATGTGTAGGGAAATTTGGTTACTTGGCAAAGCAAGAAGCAATCTATGGTGGCTAGAAGTAGTGTAGAAGCTGAGTTTAGAGTTATGTCTCATGGCATATGTGATGGAATTTGGCTGAAAAGATTGCTAGGAAAGTTAAAGGTCTCAATAAAAGAATCCATGAAGATATTCTACAACAACAAAGCTGCCATAAATATAGCAAAGAATCTAGTTCATCATGATAGGACTAAACATGTAAAGATTGATCATCACTTCATCAAAGAGAAAATTGGGGAAGGAATTTTTAGATTAGTTTATACTCCCACATGCCTCCAAATGGCAGACATACTAAGACTCTCTCTCGAAACAACTTTAAGAATTTGAAGTTCAAGCTGCACATGATTGACATCTACCACCCACCTTAAGAAGTGTAGAAATCTAATCTTCATTATTACTTGATTAGTTTATTTTGTCTATTTTAGTTAAATCTCTTATTTTTAGAATAAATAGTGATTTGGGTAATTACACCAAATCCATTAGATATTTTCCTATTATGTGTAGAAAGTAAATTAGTCCTTTGATTAGCAGTTTTAATGCATGAAAATCTTATGTTTTAAAGTTGAGAATATTCAGTTTTTACACTATATTTTTATGCAATTCTAGCATTGAAATAAGAAAAAATATAGCAGAATTAAATAATTTTATTCTAGAGATTTCTTCAACATACATGGTAACTTATATGATATAAAAAAAAACACATTAAGAACAAAACACAGGAATAAGATAAAATGCCTGAAACAAAGCAGAACAAGAGAGAAGCAAGAAACTTAAAATAAAATTTAACTAGAAATATTGATAAGCTTTTTCTTTTTCAATTGATAAAAAATAAAGCATGTGTTTTTTTTTTTTCGTTTTTTAAAAACATATTTGATAAACTTTTTATATTCGGTCATCTTTTTTCATCTTATTTTAGATGATACTCTTTTTCTAAGTATATAAGAAAAAAAAAAAAGAAATAAATAAGGGTAAAATGATAAATGATAAATGATAGAATAATAGAAAATTTCAATTTTTCCTTATTACTTTTTATTTTTTGTTCCTTCTGCCTCATCTTTTTCTTTCTTTCAATCAAAAGCTTAAAACTTTTCTACTCTGTTTTAAAATAAAAATGGATGAACTACCTTTGTACACTTGATTTTTCCTAAATTATTCTAAATGAAATTATTTTTTGTTAGAAAAAGTTTAGGAAAAAGGGCAAGAAAAAAAAAAAAGGAGGAAAAAATGAAAAAAATTAAGAAAAAGACCAACATCTTTCTCATCTATCTAAAGGTCCAAAACCATGTTTTCTTACTAAATGCAAAATGCAAAATGCACCCAAAAAAAAGTGCAAAAGCCACTCTTTCTTTCTTTTTTTTTTTTTTTTTTTTTTTTTCATGCTCTCTAAATTTTTTTCCTTTAAAAAAAATTTGATTGATCAAATCCTATATTTGGTGTTTCTTCAAACTTATTCTAAATTAAGATTTATTAAAAATATCTAAAAGAAGAAAGTGAAGTGGGGAAAAGAAAGATAATGGGAAAGTTATATATATATTTTTATTTTATCCTCTTTCCTTCTGTTTCTTTTTGTCATTCTCCTTATTTATGTTCACTAAAAAAATTCCAAACATTTTCACTCAATTTAAAAAAAAAAATGAAAATTGATTGACCAAACGTGTATACTTGACAAATTTTTTCCTATATCATTCCAAATTATATTATGTGGTAAGAGAATATCTGAAAAATGGAAAAAAAAAAAGAATAAAGGAAAATTAGTAAATTTGAGAAAAAAAAAGTCCAAATCCTAATGTCCATTTTTCTTTTGTTATCTCTTTCAATTTTTTCTTTTCTTTCTAGTCCATACCCTCACTAGCAAGGTGGTGGAGAACTAGCTTGATCCAGCTATAAGGGGCAAGATCAACCTTCATCCCATGAGTTTCCCTCTTTTTCTCTCCTCTTCTCCACCCTTTTCCCCCACTAGCCAATCACCACCTCTCCTCCACCCCTCTCCCAAGCCCTTACCTCTCCTTTCTCTTCTTCTCTCTCTTACTCTCTATCTTTATTCAACAAAAGAAAAAATTAAGACAAAAATATTTAAATGTAAAAAATGGACATAAAATGGCAAAAATTAGCCAAAATGGCCTCAAGATTATGAAATACCAAGGATGCCCAAAAACTCAATTGTAATAGGTAGTATTTATATAAATTTATATAAATAATGTACAATTACATAGAAGAATACAAGTTAGCAATTTTAAACTATGTTGCACAAACTCACATACAAGAGTCAGCCGTAGGTATTTATCTAAGTACCTGACATGCTAACCACATGAAATTGAAGACATCGGAACTGTGAAGGGTCAAAAACAAGGACACAAGTGTGTGGATTCTCTGTCAAGATTAGAATATTAAGATGATTAATATTATTATTTCAAAAGTTTAACCATCTTTTATGCAAAAAAATTGTGTTTTACTGTCTTGGTTTTGGGTTTTTCATGAAACCAAAATCATAAAAGCAATCAACCTACTTTTCAGCCCATAAGAGTAGATAAATTGAGGCCCACATGTCCTTATTGGCCCATGCTTGAATCAAACTTGGACAAAGAAAAAAGACAGAGATTGGCAGTAATTACAAGGTGAAAAGTGCGACATCACGTCATTGAATTTAAACCCAATCAGTAAATTTATAACAGTCACAAACTTTCACATATTTTTCTCCTTTTTCGCTTCCTTATTTCTGAATATCTCTCGCTTCCTCTCTCTTCCTCCATCAGGTTAGCTTTAGTCTCTCCATATTTGCATATTTGTCCAGTCTTTCTTTGCCATCTCCAACATTTTGTTCACATTTTGTTCAAGATTCTTCTCCCCATAAAACTAATTGATATTGTCTGTATATTGTGTGAGATGAAGATTCTACAGCATTTGAAAGGTAATAAATTTGAGGAAAATGAAGAAGATAACTCGGTTTACGGCAACAATTTGGTCTAATTTAGGGGATTAATATCTCCCCAACTGAGTCAGCCGCTTCTGAGATAGATCCCATTACCGAGTCCATGTCTAGTCATGTCATCCTAGATACTCTAGCAAAAATACAAAGTCCCAGGAAAATAGATTTTGATAAAACAATTTACTAGAAATCAAGTTCTTTAGGCATCAATCTCTTCCCTCCTTGATTTGCTAGAACACATTTTCAGGTCAATCTTGGTGGATAGGGATGTGAATGAAACATAGTCCCCAAAAAGGAGCTACAGATCACAGTTACAAAGGGAGTTGCCAAATTTGGTAAACTCTCTTCACAAATATTCATGACATAAAGAAAACAAAAGTTTCTAAGAAATGAAGAGGGCACCTAAATACCCTTCACAATACCAAGTATTTGCACTTCCACATTATGTAAACACAAAAAGAACCAACTAACAAATCAAACTGACAAAAAGCATTTTAAAGAATAAGAAAGGACCATAAATTGAGGAAAGATTAACAATAAATAAAATAAATATTAGACTCATTAATGAAAAAGATCGCAGGGAAATAAAATCAAACTCAGGTACCTTTATTGCAAAAAGATCCCCTGTTGTTCTCTTTTTAGCTAAGAAAACGCGCCCAAATGCTCCACGACTAATTGGTTTTATTATCTCAAAGTCATCTATGGAGGTACGGTCCTTAGATGAATGAATAGGGCTAGTTCTCAAACTATGAACCACATCATCCTCTAAAGGAGCATCCTCATCAATGATGGTACTTGTTATATCAACTTTTTCATCCACGACTAGCTCACAAAGCTGCAAGTACTTCTCCCTACAATATCAAAATCATAACCGAATAAGAAAAGCACAACAAACTCAATCAGCACCTTTTGCTCAAAGTTCAAATGTTCTTTTCAAAAGAATGTTCAGCAAAATCTTCATCATATAGGTAAATTTTACTTTTCTCTGTGTATCTACTGCATCTTGTTTACACTTTATAACCCTCAAAAATAAGCAGCAGTAATGTCCTTACCTGATCAGCTTCTCAATGCGCGCCCCAAATGTTTCTATTGTAAGTGCATTGAATTTTCTGCGGTCAACAACAAGTCTCAAGTCTTCAAGACAAGATAGCAAATATGGTATGGAATGATCATCAACCAATGGCGTATTTGCTACACATCTGGCAATATCAGCAAGTTCATTCATCTGCATGGTCTAGAAGAAATTAAAACTTGGTACTGCCACAGTAAGACCAAAATAAACTCAATTTGATATTAACGCTCAACAGCTCAGGGCCACAAAATCCATACTCTTCAAAGCAGATATATAATGTATCTGCAATGCATGGAGTGGCTCCTGCATAATCTATCTGTATAAGCAACTATTAGCAGTCTAATGCAGGTGCATAACGGTCTTGTATTCACAACAATTGAATTAAAACAAATTATAAATCACTAACATAGAAAAAAAAATGCCCTTCATATGATAAGTAATTCAAACAATCAAAATGAAGAACATAATAAAGAGAGGAGAGCCGGGTATGAAGGAAAGGTTAAAGGGAAAAAAACTATAAACTTGTAACATAAATATCGAAAAGCATACTGGTGCATTGGACATATAACAGTACATAGCAATCAAAGCATGTAATTCAGCAGCTCTTAGAGCAGGTAAGTCTTTCTGAAATAAGAACTGGCTAAAGGGATACCTGTGGAATATCCTCTTGCTCAGAAAAAGCTACCTTGCCAGACAATAACAAATCTATCTGACCAGTTCTTGGTGTCAATAAAGGAGATCTAGGAGTCATGCTTCCTGCAGACGATGTTGTCATTCCTTGATCAGACTTCGGACCAAAGCGAGTCTTACATGACATGGAAGACAAACCCTTAAGGTCATCCATAAAAACTGAATTATCTGCTTCGGGAAAACAATCAAGCATGTCTTCTGAACCTCTCCTGGACCAATCACTTAGTTTAGGAGATAGAACGTCAGATTCTTCAGTCACACTCGAATTTGATGCTTTAGCAATATCTGGGCTCCCTACATGTTGGATATCCTTATTAGCAAAGGAGTCAGCCATCTTCTCAAGCATTTCAGCAATTCTTACAAGACGTTCGTCAACACTGAAGCCCTTCTGATCACATCGATCAGCAACTGCACATATTCTCGAGTGATCTTCCACATTTGAGGTGGGAACCTCCTCCTCGCAAATGCGGCAAATTATAGAACTTTCTTCAGAAACATTCGGTTGATCTCCCCAATAACCCCAAGAAACTTTGTGCTGATGCTTAGAAGACTGTTCTTTAGATTCTTTTACAGAAGGAAGCTCCTGAAGCTTAACAGCAGTCAGATCTACATCAGAAGCTCCTGTTGTTTTCAAGGTTTCAATCATATTATCATTCTGTTCCTTGAGAGCAGTAACTTCCTTTGGACCTTTTCTGGCAGGAGATGGGAGTTTCTTCCAAGAAGCTATCCTGTCTCTGCTTGAAGGAGACTCCAAGTTCTTTGGTGTGTCATCGGTAGGAGCAATAAAACCTCCTGGCAGTACAAAATGGTCCTTTCTCCAATCCAAGGCATGTTGCTCCTGACTATAAGATTTCTTAGACGAGGTAGCTTTCGATGCCTTTGATGCACTCAAACTTTTTGCTTCTCCTAGGACACCTGAAAAAGTTCTATTATCTACAGGATGCAGGGCTCTAGATTGACGAAGTTGTATCACAGGTTCATCCTCAGCCAACCCACTTTCTTTGTGGAACTGCAACAATCTTGTACACCTGGTGAGAATGAAAAGCATCCGGGTATAAAGCTGCTTCAGCATGCCCGGAGGAAGCTCTTGACGCTTATCATCTAACTCCTGAACAATGCCTTCACACTGAAGCCAAAACTCACCAGGTGGTGTCATAGCACAGCTTCGAGCCAAAACCAGCAAATCCTCAATAGTTTCCTGCCACTCAGGATGACTTTCAGCATTTTTTTCAAGAATTCCAACCAGATCTGCAGCAAAAATAGCCAGATCAGAGTTCACTTCCTCCTTTGCTTTGTCAAATTTTGCCCGAATGACAACCAAGATTTCCTGCATAAAACAGATATCTAGTTAGGAACACAACTGCACAGAAATAGAAGGCAAGAAATAGGATCAGAATACCTCCAAGTTGTTTAAGCGTCGAGGTTTCCAAAGTGGAAAAGGCCGTACACCTTTGGAATTTAATTCATGGGAAAAGCTCTTAATATCGGCGGGAAACCTCTTCTGAGGCCCACTTGTAACACGAAGGATAGCTTGAAAACGAGGTGATTCAGATTCCTTTGGGTTTTCACATTCATATGAATTCTGGGAGAAAAAATATTCAAAAAATCAATAACACCATCACAAGTTAAACGTTAAAACATTAATAAAAGGCAGTCACTGAGTAATAAGTAGCTGAAAGGAGAGGATCAATGAAAATACTATTGTACCTCCGGTGTACAAAAATCTGAACTTTTTAAGCCTCCAGAGTGGCCCCATGATGACTCGTGTTGCCCTGGAAACAGCATTCAAGGCAGCAAAGCAACTTTTGAGAGAAAAACATAACAAATTACCAGCAAGCTTTCAGGCAATTAAACCACTTCCATATTACCAGTAATAGTTTGAACCCAAGAAGTCTTCTAAAATGAACAATGCTTCCTAGATAGAACAGAAAGGACAGAAAAATGGAGAAAAAGCATTCAAGAGAAATTTTGCAGCTTGAAAGAAATGAATAAACATTCCACATCAACATCAAACATGGTTTTATGGCATGAGGAAGAAGCTGGTAACTAGAATAGCCTTGAAACCTTTTAAACCAAGTTATAAGGTTAGCACTTCAAAGTCCATATCAAAGTTCAGATAAGCTGTGATGAGGCAGTTACAGTTAATACTCAAAAAACGTTGTTTTATAAAAAGCATTATCAACATTTTCATAACTATCAATTTGAACTAAAAAATTTGATAAAAAAAATGTCTCATATCCAATAAAATTGTATCACCTTCTTAGGAACAGTTTGGTTACTGAACTTGCATAAACTGAAAAAAAGGGGGAAACAAGAAAAGAAAAGAAAAAAATGCAAATTAAATGCAACTGCTGAAAAATAAGCATCACAAGCATATTGGCATGTAGGAGAAACTCCCTTTAGGTCTCCCAAAATCCATCCCCATCCCTCATCTCTAGTTCAACGAAACATCCATCCACAGTTGGTCATTCTATTTTTTAAACTTTTCAGTGTTGAAGATGATTTGTCCAGAATTCAAGAAAAATGACATCTTAGAGAAACTCCTGTTCAGACATGGCAATCATAAACAAAGATGAAAGGTCTATCAAAGCCAATCTAATGTAAAAATTGAATCAGTAGGATCACAGGTACTACATTTCTTCATTCAACATAATAAATTTACCCAGTGTGATCTGAAGTGAACATATCATGCACTTTCAGAAATTCATTTTTCAAATACCACTGTTTCCCTCGACAAAAATCTAAGGAATATTAACAGATGAGCATAAATGAAACTTTACAGAAATCATTTCAGCAAATCACATACCTTTCCATTTGGATTCTGTAAGTTCAACCTAATAGCACAATTTTAAATTTTTCTTAAAAATTAACAAAAAAACAGAATCTGAATATTTTCTTTACATAAAATTTTTTAAATTCAATTCTTTGCAACATGCCAACTGCTAACTGTCCAAGAACAATGCACGGGGTATGGTAAAAGCAAATACTATAACCTAGTCTGCTGCATGTCTTTTATCACCTCATATTGTGAGTCAGATCAGTGACTGCTATCAAACTAAAGCAACTTCTTTATCTCACACATGCTCACCCCCTCTCTTCCCAATGCCAAATTGAGAAGGAGAGAAAGAGAGAGCAGTTAGGAACTTCAAATTATTTTCTTTTAGCATCTTCATCTTGCTAGAGAGTAAAATTCTTAAATGTTACTGCCTTCCACTAAGTTTTATAAGGCTCAATAAAAATGCACTTCCACAACTTATTATGCCTTGTGGTAATGTTAAGCTTCCTTTACATTTTGCTTAGCCTTCTTTCTAGATATACATATTTGACAGATCAGATACAAGAACAGCCCAAGCTTTAACTCCAATCTTACATCGGGGAATCCTAAAAAGTATATGTGGCATAAAGAAATTGTTTAGCATCTATCCACCAACCAGTCACTAAACAAGCAAATCCGAAATCAAGTCCAAGAATAGAAGAGGCAACAAAAATAAGAATCGATAATTATAAAGCAACAGTACTGCCACTAAAGTACCTTCAATGGCATAACCGAAACAAAAATAGGTAAACCATAAATAAGTCAAAGTAAAAGAAGTACCAGATACCGAAGATGATTCCCCATTCTGCAATCGGGACTTCCCCAGCACACACGGACTCTGGTCTCTTGATTGCCGACCAGCGGACATACTTTCCGAATTGCTCACATTATCAAGCAAACTCTCTGGCAACAACCTCTGGTTCAACCCGTCTTTCTTCTCAGAACCGGATTTCCCATCGCCACCGCCACTCGAACCTCCAGGCCTGGACAAGTTACTAGCTCCAAGCACTGAAGCCGCAGCACTTTTCTCCCCTCTGAAACTAAAAAAACTCTCCTGCGGCAAGGGGCCGGAGCGGGTTTTAATCCGATTCAACCCCAAGGAAGACGCCAGAAGGGGCGACACAGAGGAGGGCCCGTCCCTGGCATCGGGCTTCTTGGAGGTAGAAGAAGAGGGCTTAGCAGCTGGGGTTTGGGGTTGGGGTTCTTTGGGTTTAAGGTCCTTTCTTCTGAGTCTATCTTTGACTTGGGTTTGCTTGCAAGCTACGGGACTAAAAGGGGAGGTGGAATTGCGGATCTTTTGGGAATCAGGGTTTGAGGTTGAAGCTTTGGGTTTCTTCTTGTCCAATCGGATCGGGGAATCGGAAGTGGATCGAGGGCTATTGGATCCATCAGGACTAGAAGAATCCGATTTCTTTGAAGAGGAAAAGAAAAGCTTGTTTTTGAACACCATTTTTTCCTGTTTTCTTCAGCATAAGGATCGATGAATGAAAGCCGCCACTAAATGATTCCTCCTCCAACTCCAACCATTTAAAAAAAAAAGATTTTGTACGAAGAAAAGCCGAAAACGTTGAGGTTGAAGATTGTTATATGTTTGGAGTGATTGGTGATTGTGGAGGTTGAAGCCTAGAAGCGAAAGAGGGAAAAGAATGCGACTTCAAGCGGAAATGCGGATATGGATAAACAAACTACGACTTTTAAACTTCAAAGGTAATAGTAAAAACTAACAAGAATTTTATTTAGTCAAAATGACTAAATTTCTAAAATAAATTTCTAAAGATTTAGTAGATTTTTTCGTTTTTTTTCTTTTTTGGAGGCTAGGTAATTCCAGGCGGTTATATATTTTTTAAAATGGTTTGTAACACTTTTTTTTTACTTGGATTTTAGCCTCATTTGTTTTTTTTAAATACTTTTCAAAAATAATTTTTGCATTTCTTATGTTTAGTTTGTTGAAAATTGATTAGTCAATAAAAAATGAATTACTTTTTAATGAAATAAAATATTTTTAAAATAAACACAATTTTCAAAAAAATATTATTATATCTTTTTGAATAATTCAATATATAATTTTGCAGCTTTTGCAAATGAAAAGTTACTCCATAAATTATAATTACTCATTTCATGAAAAAACATTTTTTGCTTCTAAAAAATCATAATTTTTAAATTAAAACAATCAACCATTGAATGAAAGCAATTGATTGCCTCTTTATAAATTTCATTCTATAATGCCTTTTGAAAATAAACAATCAATTCTCTTTATATAATAGTTGAATGCCTTTCTTTACGATAATGTTCCCATGATAAGGGCAATTAATTTCCCTTTCAAGACATTCAATTACGATAACTTTGTAACAAAAGATTTTTTCAAGTAAGAAAATCGATTGCCCTCAGTTGGAAAATCCACTACTCTAATACATTTTCATTCATTTTTATAACATAATGTTTTTTGTCCACCGAAACCCATGGGTGGTGGATTGCTTCATCCTGTAGTCTTCACTTATTGATTCTTTTATGTTTTGAATCAATAAATTTTGTTACAAAACTTTATCAAGTTTAATTCTAACTTAACTTTATCAAAGTTTTAATTCTAACTTTGTTTACTAAAATCAAGACCTTGAGTAAGTATCATTCTTAGCCAATTATCTTAACCAACATGATCATGGTTGAAAAAAAACCCCTATCTTTAAAAGTATCCTTATTTAAGGATAAATATATAAAGTACATGAATACTAGCTCAAATGGCGTGAATGCTATGACTGGTTGGGACTTGTCAAACAAATGATTGATGTTAGCTTTTTTTTATTATTCAAACTTAATTTTAATTTTATATAATTTTAATATCCAAAGTTTTAGAATAAAATAATTTTCAAAATTTCCTAACTAAAGAAAAGTCACATCTTAATCCATTATAATTTTTTTAATAAAATATTTTATGAATTTCTTGTTGTTTCTCTCTATTGACCCTTTTAATTCTTACTTTTCATATCTTTTTGATGAAAAGAATGCATACAATTTATAGGTAGAAGGAAAAGCAGATTTACTCTTTCAATTTACTAAACTTTATTCATATGTTCTCATCAATGTATAAAATAATTAATCACATATAACTCCATTTTTTTTATCAATAAGTTTTTTTTTAACTCATAACATTCATTAAATCATTATTATCTTTTAATTTTACTTAAAAGATATTTACTTAATATTGAATAACTTATATGTAGGCCATATAAATCAAGTATTCTCCCATTTAGCCTATATATTACTATTCAACTTTATGGTTTAATAATAAAACATACTGAGCAAAATATAAGTTAAATTATTTCTTAAGGTGATTAACTCATAAATCATCATTAAGCAAAACCTAATAAAGATAATAGCGATTGTATGTCATTAACTTAAAATAGTCCCTTCTACTCACCACATTATTAGTTCTATACTCAATATGACCCTTAATAAGAGATACCAGAATGGTTTAACAATAATGTCTTCATTAGAGACAAACCCTATTCATATTTCATATAATTCAATCATGTGTATATACTAACATAATAGAATAAGATGTAATATTATGTTAAAAAAAAGTACTTAAAAGAGCTTAGAGTGTTAAATTCATAAAAAACATAAAACTTTACCATAATGTCAATAATCATTTTCAATAATGCATATTTTTTCAACATGTTCATTAAATGTCTTTAGTAACAAACTTTTTGCTAATGGATCAATAACTATAAAATTGATGCTAATGTGTTCAATTGACTTTTTTTGTTTCTAGACTTCTTCTTTAATGACAAAGTATTTCAATTTAATGTGTTTAGCACATTTTGAATACTTATTGTTTTTAGAAAAGAAGATTGCTGCGACATTATCATAATAAATTTTCAGTGGCTTGACAATACTATCGACAATTTTAAGTCTTGAAATAAAGTTTCGCAACCATAAACTAAGAATTGTAGCTTTAAAGCATGTCACAAACTCAACTTCCATAATGGATACAATAATGACAAACTGCTTCACAATTTTTCATGAGAACGCTCCACCGACTAAAAAAAAAAAAAGCCAAATGTTAATTTTTTGGTATCTACACACCTAGCAAAATATGAATTTGAATATCATATCACTTTAAAATAATCAAACCTTCTACAAGTGAGCATGTGATCTTTCATTCCTTGCAAGTTTTTAAATATTTTCTTTACAGAGGTCTAATGATCTAATCCTGGATTACTTTAATACCTACTTAGCATTCTAACATTAAAACTAATGTTTGGTTTAGTACAAGTTTAAGCATATATCAAACTTCCAACAACAAATGCATAAGAAATTTGTTCCATTCATTTGTGTTCCAATTCATTATTTGGGCATTGCATAAGGCTTATTTTATCTTTTTTTTTTTAATTAGAACAACACTTATATATCACTTTTCCACTTTAATCCTAACAATCGTTATGATCTATCACAAAATATTTCAATACCAATTACATAAGATGCCTTGCCTATATCTTTCATTTCAAAATTCTTAGAGAGAATTTTTTTATCTTATGTAATAAGTCAAGATCATTAGTAGCAAGCAAAATATCATCACATACAAAATCATAAATATAAACCTACTCCCGCTTACCTTTAGATATATACATTGATCAACAGTGTTTTTCTTAAATCCAAAGGAAATAATAGTATCTTAAACTTAAGACACCATTGTCGGGAACCTTATTTAAGTCTATATATTGATTTTAAGTTTACAAATTATGTGTTCCTTTTCTTTAACTGAAAAACCTCCAAGTTGGATTATGTAAACATTTTCATCTAAACCCCATTTAGAAAAGTTGTTTTTACATCCATTTAATATAGCTTTAAGTCATAATGAGCCATTATTACCATAATAATTTTGAATGAGTCCTTTTTAGAAATCAAAGAAAATGTTTCTTTGTAATTAATACCATCTTTTTGAGTAAAATCTTTGGCAATAAGTCAGCCTTGTATCATTTAATGTTGCATTTGAGTCACGTTTGATCTTTAAGGCCCATTTACACCTAACTCTTTTACAACCCGCAAGCAATTCAATAAGATCCCAAACATCATTATGATTCATTAATTTCGTCTCTTCTTTTGTGGCATCTAATCATTTGATAGAATTAACACTTTTTATGGCTTGTGAAAATGAAACTAGACCTTTATTTATTCTAACTCTTGTAAATAAATCACATATTCATCAAAAATAGTAATTTTTTTTACCTTTTAGGCCTTCTTAATGCTGTTTCTGTAGTTTATCCACTGCATGTTCATTGGCAACAAGTTCGTTATAAGGTATTTGATAATTTATTTGTTATTCTTATAAGTTATTAAGCAATTCAATAACAGTAGGAACAACAATTTAAAAAAAAATTATAGGTAAAGGAATCTGTATCCTAACTTTTTGAAGTTTCACTTTGCATGGTTTCACATTCCCACTCGTTTTATCATTTTCAATGAACCTAGCATTTCCAATTTTAACAATTCTTGTTCTATGGCTAGGATAGTAAAATATAAACCTTTTAGATTTTTTTGGATAACTAATGAAACAAACCAATTGCTCTTGAATCTAGTTTCTTCTCATGTAGATTATAAATTTTTACTTTTGCTAGGTAATCCCAAACATGCAAGTATTTTAAATTGAGTTTTTTACCTATCCATAATTTAAAAGGAGTTTTTGTAACTGTCTTACTGGGAACCCCATTTAACAAATGCATTGTGGTTTTTAAAACATATATCCTCAATGATAAAAGTAAAGAATAATTGATTTAACCTACTCCTAACTATGTCCATTAAAGTATAGTTACGCCTTTCTGCAACACCATTTTGTTATGGTGTGCTTGGCATTATGTATTGAGCATATATGCCATACTTTTTAAGGAATTTAGCAAATTGACCAGGACATTGTCCATTTTCATAATACCTTTCATAATATTCATCACTTTTATTAGATCTAATAATTTTTACCTTATTGTCTAATTATCTTTCAACCCATTAGTAAATACTTCTAAAACGTTTACTAACTAAGATTTTTCATGGAATAAGTAAAACATAACCATAATGTGAAAAATCATCACTAAAGGTGATAAAATAATTTTCTTCACCAAAAGATAGAACATTAAAAAGTTCACAAATATCAATATAATCTTAAGAAGCAGTGCACTTCTTGTTGCTGTTTTTTTAATTATGTGTTTTGTGTGTTTTCCTTTAATACAATCCACACAAATATCAAAATCAGTAAAATCCAAATTAGGGAGGATATGATCCAAACTTTTATGTCATAAGTAAACTAAATTCCATTCATTAAGCCATATTTTGTACCAATATTATGATGCAAGGTCAACAAGGTCTTAGCAAAAAGGTTATCAAAATTTAATTTGTATAAATCATCACACAAACTACCGGAGCCAATAAAATAATTATGTTTAAATAAACTTAAACATCCATTTTCAAATTTAAAGGAGTATCCAGATGTATTAAGTTTAGACAAAAAAAAACTAAATTTTGAAAAATGAAAAAAACATAAAGAGTTTGAAAAATATCTAAATAGTGTCCAGTGTTTAAAATTAAATGGTAGGTTTCAGTGGCTTTAATTGGAGCTTTGACTTAGTTTCTAATGAAAACAAAAATTTCATTTGGATTTATGGTTTGAGTCATAAAGAATTCCTACATCATATTTGAAACATAAGTGGTG